CCCCCCGCCTCCGGCCACAGTCTTCCTCGATATCTCCATCGCCGGTGCCCGCGCTGGCCGCATCGCCCTCAACCTGTACGACTCTGTCGTTCCCCGCACCGCCGCCAACTTCCGCGCCCTCTGCACCGGTGAGAAGGGTCTCGGCCAGTCTGGCAAGCCCCTGCACTTCAAGGGTTCCCCCTTCCACCGTGTCATCCCCCAGTTCATGATCCAGGGTGGTGACTTCACTCGTGGCAACGGCACCGGTGGCGAGTCCATCTACGGCCGCACCTTCGACGACGAGTCCTTCGCCATTGCCCACACCCGCGCTGGCCTCCTGTCCATGGCCAACGCCGGTCCCGACACCAACGGCTCCCAGTTCTTCATCACCACCGTCCCCACCCCCTGGCTCGATGGTCGCCACGTCGTCTTCGGCGAGGTTGCCGATGAGGAGTCCATGAAGATCGTCCACATGATCGAGGCCCTCGGCAACAGCCGTGGTGTTCCCCGCAAGGAGATCCTCATCGAGGACTGCGGCCTCCTCGAGTAAGTAAGAGCTTCCCCCTCTTCTGCCTCTCTCTCCCTCCCCCCATCTCCTCTCCGGCGGCTCTTTCGTGCCCTTGTGCTCTGCCTCTCCTTCCCGCCGTGCGCCCGCTGCCCGCGCGCCCTCCCCAGCGTGCGGCGAGGGGCGACTTGCCATCATGCCCTCCATTTCTCCGGCGCGCGCCCTTTTGCTGCTCCAATGCACACATCCTCTAAGCACCACCGTTCCATTTCCCCCTCCCCTCTTCTTTCCTCTCCGTGCTCCGCCTCTCCACCCCGCTTCCATTTTCCTCGCTCTTCCTCTCTTTCTTTCTCGGTCTCATGTGTTGGCCACAGGAGGTGGTATTCGTGTCTTCCTCGGCTCCCGGAAGCAGGGGGACGTCGGGCCGGAGAAAGTGGAGGGAGGCTTGTTTGTGTATTGTTGTGGCGTGTGTGACCCACGCGGGGGGGGGGGGGGGGGGAGGGGGGGGAGGAGGCGGCAGAGAAGAAGGCAAAGGTGCTGTCTTCAAAAGGAGGAGGGGGAATGTTCCCCATCCGCGCGTCAACAACGCGCGTCGAGCAGGATGGCAGGGCGCAAGAGGAGGCGGCAAGAGCCAAGCACGCACACGCCTGTCGACACTGGGCGGTGCGTGTGACGTCACTTGTTCGTGAATGTGTTGGCCAGCCTGGGTGGCCGTGGTGGTGGCGGTCAGTGAGAGGGCGGGCGAGGGGAATGCAATCGGGAGGAATGGCTGGCAAATGGTTGGGCGGCGGCAGGGTGCGCCAGATCGCGCTGGCCACACACCAATCGAAGGCATCGTGCAACCCGTCCCCCTTGATGGCGGAGGTGGGATGGATGTGCCAGGTCCGGGTGGGAGGGAGTTTGGACAGCTGGAGGGCCTCGCTGACGTCCGCCGCGCTCATGGCTCCGTCCTGGTCCTGCTTGTTGGCCAGGATCAGCAGCGGCACATTCTTGAGCTCCTCCTCCTGGAAGCAGCCGGGCAGGGATTGTCAGATGAGCACGCACGCGTGTGGACATAGTGGGGCATTTTCAGGATGCTCCTGCGATATGGAGAGGGAGAGATAGATAGAGAGAGAGAGAGAGAGAGAAGGAAAGCGAGGCTGATGGTGGCAAAGGCCATGTACCTCGAGCATGGCGAAGAGCTCGGTCTTGGCGATGCGCATTCGATCGTGGTCCGCGCTGTCCACCACATATATCAAAGCATCGGTGTTGGCGTAGTAAAGGCGCCAGTATGGCCTGGGGAAGGGGGAGGCACGCGAGGGAGACATCCGAGAAAGAGAAGGGGTAATAGTGCAGATGGTGAGCAAGTGCCAGCAGTGGATCTGGTCTTCGGGCATGGGGGATGCGTACCGGATCGTGCACTGGCCGCCGAGATCCCAAACTAAGATGCATGTACGCGTGTGTATGCACGTGTGAGCTGCCAGTCACAGGAAGGGGGGGGGGAGGGGATCAGGAGCAGGATGTAGCGGACCTTGGAACTTGAGGTTCTTATAGGTGACAGTCTCGACATTGAAGCCAACAGCTGTTGGAGGGCGGTGCGGTGGGCGACGGGCACAGGGGCGCAGAGAGAAACAGAAAGACAGACAGACATGTCAGCAGCCATCGGCGCAATCGAAAGGATGGTGGCGGGCGCATGCGCAGGGGGGGGGGGGGAACAGCAGGCGGACCCGGGGGAGCGGGGAAATGTACGCTTTACTTTGCACGAACACCA